AAGAGTTACAAAACTTGCCCTCAAGTTTTGGAATTTGAAATTTTTTTTATGAGACATTGAATTCTAAAACCAAAGTTATTTGAAAAGTTTTGAAAATTGTAACGTATGGGTTCATAACTTAATAATAAATCAAATAGTTTTAATTTTGTTTTAGCATCTTGATGTTTTTGAATAATTCATATTACATCTTTATGAACTTTATTAATAGTTAATTAAAGTGTTTAATTAAAAGAGAATTAATAATTCCATAATTACATGGTTTAAGTTTAATTAAATTAAGAGCATAGTTTCATTAATAGATTAAACCACTTAGTATTATAAAATTTTAAAATACACCCTTATACTATTATAATATTAAAAGTTTAATATATTATATGTATAAGTAAAAAGTCGGTCTTACCGTTAGTAGGCCTCATTCACGAAGTTGGTATATAAGGGTGGTATATGGTTACTGACTATAATATGGCGGTTTAATAGGTGTCCACTCTCACCCACCACTTCCTTGACTGGTGGAGGGTCGTTAGTCGAACGAGTAGGATAGGACATTAATTCTCATTAAAAGTATAATGAAAATACCAAGTAACTAAACACTTATAAATTCCAAATCTTAGATGCTTAGGAAAAATGTGAATTTGGTGCTAACCCATGAAATTGCACTTTGCACCTGGTTAAGTAATTAGTGGAGCGTGTTTGGTTAACCGGCACACTAATCTGCGACTGACAATGTGTGGCAATGGGTAGTTCGATGTTTGTCATAGATCAATGGAGCATGTGTGGTTAATCGGCATATATATTAGGTGATAAATGACATCAAGAGTAGTAAGCTAATTTGAATGGTTATTCACACCTTGTTTGTGATCCTCGGTATCCCAGTCACAAACTTGAAGGGCACAATTGAGATTTAAACATGCCATTGAAAAGTCTAATGAATCTCAAGGGATCTAGGAATTTCAAACCAATTAAAACTTAATAATCAATTTTCTTTTTCATGGTGGAAATTGGTACATCATCATTTACCTACCTTCAAATATTTTACTATTGGATTACGGCATCCCTCTTCCGAATTGTAAAATATTGTGTTGGGTCCTAGCATTAATATATTCATTTTGGGTGTTATATTAAGGACTTAAATCAACTAAACTTGAATTTCTCCCTTGTAGATGTCTAGTACAGACAACTATGGTCTTCCCAAATTTTTTGAAACAAGCTTTCCTCTTGAAGATGATGTTCCACGATTGGATCATGGAAGTCAAAATCATACATCACTTACTCCACCTCCTCCAATTATTCTCCCTGAACCACAAGCTCGAAGACTTGAAAAGTTCAAGATCACTCAATACATATTCGCTAGTAAACACAAAGATGGAAAGTCTATATGTGCTCATGTCTTGGACTTGAAGCTGCATATTGATAGGCTAGGAATGTTGGGTGTCGTGTTCCTAAGGAAGTTGGCTATTAACTTGGTTCACCAGTTACTTCCCGAGTCATATAGTGAGTTCGTTGAAGACTACTGTGTGATAGATCACTACATTACCCTCATTGATCTTACCTATTTGCTAATTGTTGATGAATTAGCAATGATTTGGCACAGTGGTCAAGCAAATTTGATTGGAAGATCTACATCCCAAGTTGACATGGACGTCCCAGAAATGATTTCTTCTCCTAAAGGAAATGAATTTTCCATGGTCAAAAGTTTTGATCATAAGAGAAAGGCCAATTCCGAGACTGTTCCATGTGTCATTCCAAAGAAGCCATATGTTTCTATTGCCAAGAAAAGGGATATTGGACGAGAAGCTGTCCTGATTACCTAAGAGATCTAAGAGATGGTATAGTCAAAATGTTTGAATCTGCTTCAGGTAAGTCCATTATCTAACTCTATTAAGTTTCTATTTGGAGATTCTTAATACATGATGAATGTAATTAGATTGTGATGTCTTGTAGGATCAAAGGAAGCTTAAAAGAAGATTAAGCTGAGTCTGATCATGAAGAAATGGATTTCAATCGCATGGTTCGATGATCAGAATCTTCAGTTGCTGCTTAACAGTTATGATAGATTGCTTAGAAATATTTAGAAACATAGTTTTCATTTGTATTTGCATTGTAAGGAAAAGTTCTCTGCGTTTTATAAATAAATAAAATTTTGATTTTGTTTTATTTTATATCTCCATACAATGGCATTTGTAAAAATTGATGTTTATGTATATTCTAGCAATGTTCAATATGGATTTGATTCTTTCTTTTGTGGTAGTGTCAAAATTCCAAATAAGGAAAGATTCTTATCACCCAAGTTTCAATTGGATAGAAACTTGGAATCATGCAACTTGAACTACTAGAAAAACAGACTTTTACGACGCGCAATGCGTGTCGTAAAATGCTTAAATGACGCGCAAATGCGTGTCAAGGAGGGCCCTTTCATAACGAGAGACTACACACTTTTGAACGTCGTTTATTTACGATGCGCAATTACGACACGAATTTATGACACGCGTTTATGACATGCATTGTGTATCAAGGAAGGCCCTGTCATAAAGGAAGACGACTCGCACTGCGTATCATTAAAGTCCCTGTCAAGAAAGATCATGTCATAAATGAAGATGACACACATTTTTGCATTTCATAATTTTAAATGTTTATAGATTTACTAAGTTTTAAATTATATTTGTATTTAATCTCATAATAGAAAATAAAATATCATATAAAAAATACAATCTATTACATAAAATTTCATGTCATACAAATAATCATTCCATGGAAAGATAAAACAAATCAATAGAAGTTGTAACAAAAATTTACAAGCCAATTAGATATAAGAAATATAAAAAAAGATACCCTCAAATGCTTTCCAAAGTCTAATCTGCATGTCAGCTCTTCAGCTCTCTTCTCTGGTTTGTCATTAGCTTCTCTAAGGGCTCCAACATCTCTTGCGGTCTATGACAACATATAGATCCCAGGTTGCAGCTTTTGAGGTAATACGGTAACCATTATCCCGTCTTATATGGATCCCCTCACTTGATATAGAAAATCAAGCTCCACCACCTTACACCAAAAACACATTAATCTATTCTCTAGTCATACTCAAAAGATATATTGTTATTCTTATAACTAGTATTATCATATAGCATTCAAATTTATCGAAAATAGAATCGTTTTCATATAAATCACATAGTTGGACATACATACTACATACATCACTTATCTCGATTCCATGCTAATAAAAAAATATATACACAGGAACAGTAAGTATACCTTAGATCTTAAATATTCATGGACCAGAAATGTTGAAACTGGACCAGAGTCCATGTTGATGTCCCATAACTGCACAACGCAAACCAACACCAATATAACTTGATTTTATATTTTATAGAAAATAAATGCTAGATGAGTTGGTTTTTAAATGGACATGGTAGAAAGTATATAATACAACAGAAGAGGAACAAATCAGAAGCCTTAAGGGTCATGTAAGCACAACTTAGGAAATTTCGGATTACACTTAAATCAACACTTGTTGAACTATTCTTGATGTCATCAACTTCAGAATTTACCTCATTCTGATTTCTAAGTTGATCCACTGTGAAAATTTTGAACACATTAGAAAATTTCTATGAAAAGATAAAACTGAAACACATATCAAAGCAAAATATAATTATAAATAAAAAAACAATTTTGATACCATATCGAGAAGGCGGATATCACGACTTTTGTATTTGCCATGTACCCTGCTAGCAAGACCAGCACAACATTTACCATAACTCCAAGCTAAAAAATACAAAAATAAAATAGTCACTTTGTTTTATTGACAACTAAAACACATATTTATTCAGAAGCGGTAGAAAAGACAAGCTTGTTCCTGATTAATTACCAGACCATAACATCGGAAGATATCGAGAGCTTCACAACAGGTAACAGATCCTTAAAAGCTGCTGATGTAAACCCCTTCCAAGAATACGGACACCAACCACCAAATATATAAACAAACTCTACAATCACAAGAAACCACGATGACATAGACAAAGCAATCATGGCTCCACCAACACCAAGATTCAACTTATACACGAACAGCAACGACAAAGGGATATGAATCCCAAATTGAAAAATCGAAAGCAATGCAATCACCATGTTCTTCAACTATGCTTGAAATTAAAGTTTATGCGATACAACAAATTTATAAGAAATTAAAGAATAAAGGTTTATTATATAAAATAAATATGATATTCATATTATAAGTTATACCTCTAATTTAACAATAGAACCACAACCACAAGCACAAGCACAAAGTTCTGCTTGCAAGCATTCTAGTTGTTGGCGCATCTTTAACATTTCACTAGACATCGGATCCCTATTCACCTATTAAATTGTTTAAAAAAGTAATAATTTATTTGTGTATTATAGCATCTCACTTTAATATGTTTTCTATAATAAGCAAATAAATGAAAGCAGATTGCTATTTCTAGCATATAACTCAAACTTACCACAAGCTTATTCTGTATATTTCGAGTCCTGTTTGCATACTTTAAAGTGTTGAGAGTCTCCTCAACATTTATATCTACAGGACTAACACAAGCTGAAATTAGGAAAAATTCTATGTTTACTTAGTACCAAATATTTTAAATAATAAACAAAACTATAAATTATATATGTTACCTATCATAACAGTTCTACTGTTCCCACCAAGTGAGTCCTATTAGTTTGGTAAAACATATTTAGCTTAAACTAAAAGCAATAAACATAGTTGTATTAAAAATTAGTTAATTAATAATGTCCAACCTGCAAGAGGCGAGTAACTTTACTATCTCTATATGGAACATGAGCACCTTCTTTCCGTTTTTTCTCATCACCAAGGGCACTTATGACATTTCCAAGTGCAAGATGCCCCTTATTAATACGAACTCTTGTTCAAAAACTCAAGTTATCAAGTAGGTTATTTCCATTTTGCAATAATAAGGACGAGGGCATTTATGTATTTTGTGTGGGACAAAAACTGCAACTTTTGTCCACTAGATCCTTGTTTCGGTCCAGTGCACACCAAAAATAGTACAACTCGGTCCCACTTTTTTGAGTGGGAAAAAAATTACAACTTTTATCCCATTGACATCAGTATCAGTTCCAGACCAATCTAGAACATGACACAATACAGCCCTAGCCCATCTTTTTGAGTGGGGCAAAAATTGGAATTTTTGTCTTAAAGATATGTAATAAATATCATCACCTACCTTCTTTGAACCGCATACCATCAGAACCTGTTCTTTTAGCCCCTTCTGAACCAGCAAGATCAACTAAATGCAATTTGGCACACAAATATTCATCACACATAGAATCAATCGAGATTGTCTTCTTCATTTGTTCCAATGTGATTGTGAAAATTGCATGTGATCGACTACACAAAAAGTTCAAAATGTTAGAAATATATATAATATATGCCATATATAATATATTATGTTACTTAAAAGATGATTCAAATCTGGTTCACCCGCCAAGTCAGCAATGGAATAATCTTTTGTTTCCCCACTTCTCTGTGATATCACCACCCTCCATTCAACATCCTTTGCCATTTTCACCACTTCTATCACTTCTGTCACTGTATCTGGTTCACCTTCCCTTCCAAATGTTATCAAAATCCAACATACTTTTTTTTTTATATTTACTTGTTTTGTATTGTTATTATTATTATCATTATACATTTATACCTTGAGAAGAAGGGCATTGCAAGCACGTTCATGAATGGCTCTCTCAATATGTTTTGAGTTTGACATCAACAACCTATATCCCATAACCTTCACACAGAAAAATCACATACTTTTACACAATGTTAATATTAAAAGAATCTAACTTCACCATCATTGGTCAACAAACCTACCTGGAAAATTCCAAGCCCAATGAAATACTTGGCTTGTTCCTAGTATGTAATATCCTCCTTTACAAGATCTAATCCTTCTATAAAGCTGAAAAATAATCAAATCAAAGCACCAATATCACCAACAGAAAACATCTTGTGGCCATCAATTTGTTCCAAACTTCAGAAACTGATTCCACTTTGTTAGTTTTTCAAGATTAACATGATAATATAGCATATTTATTTCTCATTCATAAAGGAATTACTTCATTATGGTACAAAACTTATTAATAATTTAACATAATAGATTTCATACTCCTATACAATCACTGAAATAGAATATGTATTATATTCATTATGTGTACAAAATACTAGCATCATGTAGAAGAAACAAACACAAGAAATCGTTATATCAGGAGAAGAGAATGAAACTTTATTAGAGCCTTGCAGTTTCAGGGACATCAAACTGATGACAGGAAGAAGAAACAATTTTTTTGTGAGAGAAGAAACATGAAGAATGTACCTTTTGGGAGTAAACCAAGAAGGAGTAGGATCAGATGGGTCTCCTTGACGGGCGGCATGTAGGTCAGCGACGGTGGCGGAGAGGAGAGATGGGTCGGAGGAGAAGGAGGAAGTGTGTGCTTTGGTTGACGGAGAGCTTTGGATTTGATTTCGTTCCAGACCCAGTCACATCCGTTTTCTCCACCATTGACGGAGGTTTTTGGATATGATGATGACATCGTGGACTGTGGTGTGGCATTCCGATCATGAACCACTATCTTGAGATGGCGGAATTGTGTGCTTAGGTTTCTAGATGTACTCCAAACTCTTAAATCTTATAGGGTTCGATGATGGTGGTGACCACTTAGGGATTGGAAAAAGGAGGGAGAGAGAGAGAGAGAGAGAGAGAGAGAGAGTGTGTGTGTGTGTGTATGTGTGTGCAGAGGTAAAGGAAGACGAGCAGATTAAATAGGGTTATTATGGTTCTTTGGTAGGATTTAAGAAGGAGAAGAAGGAGATGAATTGGGTAGGGTGTTTAATTTTTTGGGATTCCATTTCCCCCCATAGGCTATTAAAAAAAAGGAGATGCGCTTTCCTAAAAAAATATAAAATGACACATTCACATGTCACGCTTTTTATAACAGGTTCCCTCCGTGTTTTTTTACACTAATTTTAGGGCAGACAAAAATGTGTGTCCTCTATCCTTCAAATTTTGTAAAACTAACATTATTTTTTTAAGTCATACACAAATGCGTGTCCTCTATCAGCGAGTGTCATTGTTTGCGCATCATTAAAGGGATTTTTTGTAGTAGTGTTGTATTGTGTGATGTATGAGAACCTTCATTTTTGGAAATTAAAGACTAATTCCTTGTTTACATGTATATGTGAGTCGAGTGAAGAACTACGAGATCGGGTACACTTGGTTGTGTGCTGGCTAGGTCCACCACAAAGAACGATAAGACTATTTGTCATGATTTACTAAAGTTAGTAAACATCGTTATGCTTACAAGTTTAAGTATAATTTTGAAACATTAGAAAAGTTTCAGTGTATGGAAGAACGAATGAGAAGAATCAAATTAGGCAGAAAGATAAAAGTATTTCTAATCTGAAAAGATGGGAGGGTACTTTAGTATCATGTTTTATGATCATCTTAATGATTATGGAAAACCATATCACAATTGATCCTCTAAGAATATCTTAGTACATTTTTATGTCTAAGAAGAGGAATCATGAATTATTGAAATGGTTAAATCAAGAAGATGAGTCATACTACGTTCCAAAACAAGTCTTAGAGTCATACTCCAAGATTGTGACTTAAGTGACATAACCTTAAGAAAGGTTTATAACACTTATCAAATGTAGAGTAGAATGTTTCTTAATCTTGTATATTTGATATTGGCAAATTGTGATGTTTTGGATAATACAAAGACCAACTAAGACCAATTGTGAAAATTGTTTGTTTTGATAAGAAACCACACTAACTCTTGAATGTTTGTTTGTCAAGTAATGTTTCTTGACAAAGTGAATATTTTATGTCAAGAAGTCAGTGGGAGTCTTAAAGATCTTGAAGAGTTTCAAGAACTAATAAAGAGTAAATCTATTGTTAATCACTAGCACATGACTTGAGGTTTATAACCTATCATGGTGACATATTCTTGTTTCTGTGCTATTCCAGTTGGTTGACTATTTATGTGAGTTTTATGAGTTCTCAATTGTTTGCATAACAACCTAAAATAAATGGTAGGCCCTTGTGTTGCTAGGTGGCAAGAAATGAAGATTGAACAAGTTTAGTCCATATGTGTTTGGATTTGTCACTAACCCTTCCTGTGATTATGGTTATGACAAATTCACATGGACAAGAACACATACACCATAAAAAATATAAGTGTCAAAAGGTTTCTCTCCAATTCAAGAAAATGATTGTGAGGAAATTCTTTCACTAAGTAGATTTTAAGGAAATAGCAATTGTGTTATCTGCCTTCTCAAATTCAATTATGATTACGGCATCCCTTTTCATAGTTTGAATTGTGAGAAATAGAAAAAAGTCTAAACATTTTTGACTTATGGCTGTAAGTTCTAAAATTGTTAAGACACGCATGTGAGCTATCTAAGGAAAGGTGTATGAGTTTGAGAAGCCTAGATAAAGTCTTATCGAAGCATCCTATATCAGAAATTTGAACTTTGGTAAGAAAGTCAACAAATATTGATTTCTAGAAGTCCAGATGATTTTTGGGTACATGTCAAAGCTAGTGGGAGCATAAGTGTTATGCTAATAAGAATGTAATTATTATGCTAGTGGGATCACAATTATTACATGTTAGCAATGTTAGTTATAGAAAACAAAGGTTTCAATTCGCAAAGTTGCAGGGGTTGAAAACTTGTTTTGCTATAATTAATGGAGAGGAATTCATACTTCATTTCAAATCTAAAAGGTTAGATTGATATTTTTAATCAAATTTAGTCAAGGATATATATGAACGTTATGTTCAAAAGATTTGACATAAGGAAATTCTATATATGGAAATATTATAACAAGAGACTGGTAAAGTATTATGTCTTTATGTGAAACATTATGTATCGTATCTCATATGCTTCGGGTATAGGATTGATTACATATGCTATAATATTAATCTGATCTAATTTTCCATATGTCTAGGGAATTAAGAGGGAAAAGGGACTAGAACGAGATGTGACTAAAGTGGTTAAGCAATTGTCGAGGACAATATGAGGTTTACCAAACATTGGTTGCTTATGGACAATTAAAAAGTATATTGTAAATTTTGGAAAGACCATATTGACATACTCTGAGAAGAGGTAACTCTTGTTCAGAAGTGATAGTCAAAATGGGAATATGGAAATGTTACCATAAGTGGATGTTTATAATTAAATCTATGTAAGTTTAGAAAACTTAATTGTAAGAAGTTTGTTCAAAGGAATGTACTTTGAATATGCGACTTCATTTCAATGGAATTGCTCATCATTAGAATACTTTGAATGTTTGTTGCCAAGTCTCCGTGACTTTTGCATAGTCGTAACAAGAGGATCATTGTAAATAAGTTTAGAATCTAACATATTACAGTAAATGGCAAGCATTTGGTATTCTTACATTTTTCGATAAGGATTTCGAATTGTGAAATGAATGTCATTGGAAATGTTTACAATTGATCTATTTCAAAACGTAAGGACCATAGATAAAACATAGTGTGCATGCTTGGAGCATGGGATGACTATTGTTTTAGTTTAAGTATTAAGTTGATCAATCGAAACATTATACAATGAATAATGTGTATTCAATATGGTGACTAAGTAAAAGGTGTTTTATTTATATTCAAAAGTTTTGAGACCATATTGGATTCGATTATTATTGTGTTTCACTTTGTATGTTTTGACTTCCCAAATAACTAGGTTATTGAAACTATCCAAAGTCAATCATACTATTGAAGTAGGTATTGAAGCTAGACTATCATGAATGGATCTGTAGATTGTCTAGAGTAGTTTAGACACAGCACAAGTTTGATGCAGTGTTCATAAGTACTCATGTAATAAGATTTGAGTATTGGATTAAATCCACGCTCATCTGAATCACTTCCTAGATTTTATCACGAGTGATTGTGAGACGATAATATCTTATATTCTTAAAACCAAGACATGTGAGTTGTAGTTTACAAG